AAACAAGGCTGTCCATTATCAACTGAGCTGTTTGGACTCTACATTGAAACTCTCGCGGACGTCATCGATATGCACGACGGTATTAACACCGGGGCACGGCCAGAGGATGCACCGGAGGTTGGAAGTGAGTGAGTGTCCATCCTCCTCTATGCCGATGACGTTAGCCTTCTGGCAACAACACCGGGACGCATGGGGGAGCTGCTCAACATTGTGGACGTGTTCTGTGATGATTTGGGATGCGACCAAATGTGTCGAAATGTGAACGCCTCGTTTTTGCAAGCGACAGCGATACTAGAAATGCTGTCCAAGCATCGTGTGATGAGCTCAGGCTGGCTGGAGATGCCATACCGGCTAAGGATAGTGCACGATATCTGGGGTTAGTGTATGGGCCAGAACGGCAGTTCTGGGCCTGCCGTCAGCAGTTGTATGACACAGCTAGAGCAGCTATGTTCGCGTTGAGTGCAAAATTAGATAAGCTAAAGTTGTTCGCCCCAGATGTGAGGATGAGGTGTTTCGATACGCAGGTACGAGCAATACTGTTGTATGGTTGTCAAGCGTGGCGGCCGTTTAGCTGAGGTCTTGGACAGGCTCAAGAGGCGGAGTGATGCGAGTAACCTTGCAGAGGGGCCCTTCGAGGCATGCCTAAAGGACAGAGCAGTGCAGCTTCAGATATCCTTCATGCGACAATTTGTAGGAGCTGCCAGACAAACACACCGATTCCTGTTTGCAGAGCTGTCGCAGCTACCCCTACACTACCACGTTCTCAAGCAGGTTGTGAGGTTTTGGAACCATGTCCATTTACAGCGTGGGTCTGTGGCACACCAAGTTTTACGACAGGAGGTCGCAGAGTCCCTCTCCAACCCCGAAGGGGCCGGATGGGGGACACTACTACTCCGTTTTCTATGTTTTTGGGGGCACGACGTATGGAAAGAGGCCCTGCAAGGGCTACACGAGGTAGACGAACGAGTGGAGTGGCTGATGAACAGGCCAATGCCAGAAGGTGCGGTTTTGGAGTTCAAGGACCGATTAGCGAGTGGTTGGAAGCATACGCGTTTAGATGTCCAGCCTGACGTGTACCCGTCAGATGGCAAGCAACCAGGAATTCACATGGCGAAGTATAAGCATTGGATGGGTCTGGCGGCCGAGCAAGCGGGCAGGAAGGAGGTGCTCCCGCATATCGCAATGTTTATCCCGCGTTCAGCGAACCGCAAGCTTATGCAGTTTAGGCTTTGCTGTTGGGCATTGGCGGCTAACAGAGCGCGTAAGGGACGGCGTTGTATACCTAGGGAGGAGCGAGTATGCCCTTGCTGCGGCACTGATAGCCATATCGAGGACGAGAAGCACATTTTGATGGACTGTCCGGTGTACAACAAAATCAGATCTGATATGGGTTTCCCACGCTTCGAGCATATGAAGGACGCTATGAAGTGGGAACCTGAACGCCTGGCAAGGATGCTGGAACGCATATGGTCCCACCGCAACTCTTATCGTTCCCTTTGGTCGTTAGTATCCTCATCACT